GCAGGACATGGCCTGACAGCTGTGCAAGTACCAGGAGCTCATGAACATCAAGCTGGCCCTGGACATTGAGATTGCCACCTACCACAAGCTGCTGGAGGGCAAGGAGAACAGGCTGGAGGCTGGGATGCAGAACTTGGGCATCCACATGAAGACCACCAGTGACTATGCGGGAATGGTGAGCTCACCCTATGGGAGCCTCCAAAGCCCTGCACCAAGTCTGCTGTGGTAGTGAAGAAGATCGAGACCCGTGACAGGAAGCTGATGTCTGTAATCTCTGATGTCCTGCTCAAGTGAATGGACGACAGCAGCTTCTCCCAGCCTGCACCTCTCCCAAGGCTGCCAGAGATCCCATGGGGAGACAGCTATACAAGGGAGCATTGGGAGCAAGAGACCCACGTCAGGCTCAGCTTAGTGCTCAGTCCACCCTTGGGGGGACATTACTGCCTGGGGTACCTCTTCTTGCCTGTGCCCACCACCAAAACCCAATTCAATTGTCTTCCAAAATAAAGCCTGGTTTTGCCACCTGAAAAAAAAAAAGTTGAAAGCAAAGGATTCCTGTCAGCCATCATGTGAATATTAAGAAACATTTGTTTTGTTTTTAATGTTTGAGCTAAATTTGAATTTTTAATCCATAATTAACACCACTCATCTCCCAAAGTTGGTGGTAGGCACCCACCTTCTTCCCCTCTGTCTCTATCTTGGCCAGCTATGTAGGACAGGGTTATAAAATATCTCCTTATTTATACACAATGATCAGCCACCACTCTGCCACGATAAGCACTTAGAAGCATCCAGCAAACTTCTAACTCCAGGGTTCCTGAAGCCACAGTTCCTCTGATAGCAGGTACTAACAGAGCCATAGGGCTTGTGTCCAGGGCCTTCCTGGACACTAATGCATGAGCTTCAGTGCGTCATTCTTTGCATTTCGCTCCATTGTCAGGGTGCCTGCAACACCCCGCAGAGTAGCTTCTCACTCTGCTCCCTCAGTTCTCTCTCCATTAACTGAGCACCAGACTGAAAAGAAAACACGATGTGGCCACTGCAAGGATCTTGCACTTTCTTCTCCTGGTGGTCAGGAGAGAAAATTTATAGTATAGCATGGGATAGCTTAGGCAGTGGGAAAAGAGCACAAAGATGGGCCAAATCTTCCAGCCCTCCCAGTCACAAAATCTTTCACAAATCAGCAAGTAAATGATGAATAAGACCAAAACAATGGATAACTGGCAAAATAGTCCAAAGAAAAGCAAATACAAATAATCCATCAACATATTAAGTCTTTAGTCAAAAAGAGGTGTGTCACACCTACCAGACAACAGATTTTATGGTTTTATTAACAAAATATTAAAACTTTATAATATTCAAAGTTGAAGAGGGTATGAGAAAACAGGAATAATCATTCTCATTACTGTTGTAGAAATCTAAATAGCTCCAACAATTCTACAGGACATCTGGCATTCTCGAAATAGGAAATGCAAGGTGTCAGAGATGACAGGGTGGTCAAATGTTCAGCTCTTCTTCCCGGGCCCACAGCTAGACTGTGTTTCCCAGGTTGCTTTGCAGTTGAGTGGAGTCACAAGGAAGCATTGGCCAATGGCAAGGCAGAACAGCCTCAGCTAAATCTGTCTCATTAGCACTGTCCAGGTGAAACCTCCCACAGTTGTTCCCCTCCTCACCTCAGCTGGCTGGAATGGAGATGATACCACATCACCCTTGAAAACCAAATGATGAAAAGGACAAAGCTACCGTCCAGCATGGTTTATGAAGAGACCTAGCAGCAGAGACCATTCGGCTCACCAATCTAGCCATCCAATGCTCATGAGCAAGAAACGAGACTTGCTTCTGTTGGAGCCTGTGTGGTCTGTTTGCTACAGCAACTGGTCTACTCCCACTAACCCACTAGCATACACTGTAACTTGGAAGTTTCACCAGGGGAAAATTCTCTGAAGAGAAGATGTATGTAATTGTACAAGTTTAATAACAAACTAACCAAACTTGGAATGATCGAAGAATTTATGGTATAATCATCCAATAGATTACCATGCAATCTTAGAGTAACAGAGATCTGTGAGTATCCAATGAAAAGACTTCTACACTCTGTCATTAAATGGGAACTGGGATCTGGGGGTGGTTATGAAAAACGGTACATAGTAACATACAAACATACTGGCATCCACATTCTTCTTTCCTAGGAAGACAGCCAAGAAAAAGTTAAAAGGATGTAACTTTCGTAATTGTCTGTATTACTTGGAATTTTTACCACCAAAGGGAGACTATAGAACTTTTCAAATAGTAACAAATTGTTATGGTTTGTACTTAAATACCCTCCCAAATCCTCATGTGGCTAGAGAGATAGCTCCACAATTTAAGTGCTTGCCTGGCAAGCGCAAGGACCAGAGTTCAATCCCTGGTATCGCGTGCTATGCTGGCTCCAGAACACCAGGTGTGCCGTGCCAGCCCTGAAACCAGGTATGGTGGTGCACACCTGTAATCTCAGTGCTGGGGAGGCTGAGACAGGAGTATCACTGAGTCTGAACTGCATAGCAAGACCCTGAATCAAATAAATAAATAATTTTTTAAAAGTGTCCAAAACCTCATCTGCTGATAATGGTGCTTTTCTGAGCTGATTGTGTTTAGGTATATGATACTGGGATTAAGAGTGTATGATATAAAATTAGTCCACTGATTGTAATTAGTATAGTTTTGGGTATGCCTGAATGGATTTACTAAGGACAGAAGCCCCACCCCAGATGTGGATGGCACCTCCCAGAAGGCTTATAGCCTGGGATGGAATAAAAGGGAAAGGAAGGCTTGCTGTTTGCTGTTTGCTGTCTTCTGCCTGCCACACCATGAACTGTTTCTCCTCTGTGATGCCCTTCTGCCATGCCACTCTACCTCAGAGCTAGCTGACTATGAATTGAAAACTCTACAAACTGAGTGTTGAAATGAAACTTTTCTCCTTTAACTTGTGGGTGTGAGAAAAGTAACTAAGATACAAATAGCCAAAAAAATCAGCCTATTATATATATATATATATATATTTCTTTAGCACCCAGTCCATCCTAGGCATCAGGAGCACAATTTCCAGCCTGGCAGGATGACTCAGGGATCCTCACTCTAGCAGGTGTGCTGTACTCTAGTTGGGCAAAGGACACCCACAAAGATGGCCCAGGAGGTAGCACACATCTTCAGTTAAAAAGAGAGCCCCTGGGAGCCACTCTGCCCTGACTCCCCTAATGGCTGGTAAGATGTGGAGTAATAGGCATTTAAATTCCAAAGATGAAGGAAGAGGAATCCACAACAGCACAAAGAGAAACTGAACTGCAGGCCCTGTGTGCTGAGAAGCCAAAGGAAGTTGTCTAGCAAGCCACAACTTTCACTTCTTTTGCTCTGATCCCTCACCATCCCTGACATATGCTGAACTTCCAGTGATATGAAAGACACCATCATCCTTTCTTAGGTACACAATGCATCTTAATTTAGATCTTGCCACAGAGTTCTACCTTCCCAAATTCAGAGTTACATACAAAATAGCAACTGTCACACAGACAAAAATGGGAAGTTTAGTCATGTCCTTAATTTCCTTCAAGTTTTAAGCATTCTGTGATATAACCACTCCAGCATGGCTCCAGAAAACCTGCAATCTGCTGCTGATAAGAGGCCCTACTGAAATGATTTGCATGCTGACTAGCCCGACAGACTCCTAACCTCCTTGCAGGAAGAGAGATGTGTATTAAACAGATAAGCCTAATGACTTCAAACACTCTGTCCTCCTGCACAAACTCATGAAAAGGCACACCACACAGTCATCAGGTAGTTGTGGGCTCTCCAAGGCAGCCACACGCTACTTATTTGATACTGATCTGCTGCAACTTCAATCATTATTTTTTTCATCTTCTTCTAACTGTTGCTTGAGGAGGGAAAATTGAAATGTCAGAGATTTAAGAAATTACCTTGAGTCTAAAATTAGAGTTGTCCTTAACACACTAAAGTAAGGAAGTAGAGCATGACTTGCTATATACTTAGAGGTAGGGCTACTGCATGAACGTTTCCACACACAAAGGCCTTTAGAGAGGGGACTTACATGGGACATGGAAGCAATTTTGTGACAATGAAGCTGTTCTGGCACCACCACAGCAAGTTACCACAGCAGAGCCAGAAATGATTTGGCTGAGTCTGCTGACCAGTGGGAATTATTCAGGAAAACAATTCTCTGAGGATTTCCAAATCTGGGTCACTTTTAATAGAGATGTCACAAATGAGAGGAGAAGTACAAGATACTCTCATTGATTCTCTCTCTTTTCTGTCTCTCTCTCTCTCTCTCTCTCTCTCTCTCTATCACACACACATACACACACACACACACACACACACACACACACTTCATTACCAAAGCCTTGGGTTGAAGAAAAAAGGTAATACGTACATATATGAGTTTCACTAGAAATTGCTAAAATAACCACAAATACAACTTTCCTTGTAGGGTCCATGCAAACGCTTGCACTGCTTTTTCTTTCCCTTTTGTTTTGTTTTGCTTTGTTTTTGTATTTTATCATTCATTCAGCATCTTTTCTCTATCATAGAAAGGCATTAAGTCATCTGAAAGTGTCTCTCACTCTCACCTTGTGTGAGGTCTATCAGTGCGCATGCTCTACCTTCTCCAGTGCTTAAAGGACAGTGCCTGCCACTACCTACATGCACACAGTGTACTGCTGGCTTTCTGTCATTCTTTGAGAAAAAGCACACAAAAATTGAAGTGTTCCCAGGAAAAGAAAAGTCTAAAAAACACCCCTGAAGACATCCTGATAACATGGCAGAAGCAGCACTATTCAAGAACCAAACCATTCAGTCCGGCTCCTCACTCTATGGTGCCGTCTGCTTCCTCTGGTTTACTCACAGCACAGCCCCTCAGTAAGCTGCCTGTGTCTAAAATGTGGACTCTGACATCGGAAAGGGCTTTGTTAATTGATCTCAGCAGAGCATAATGAGCATCCAGGGCTTACCTGCATGTCCTCGGAGGTGCTGGCTGGAGGCGGACATCAGCTTACAGCACACCATTAACACGTAGGCCAAGAAGACCCAGTGTGACAGCAGCACTGACTTGGCACAGGCTCTCATTCTAGGGGGAAAACATGGCACGAGTCAGTGAGGACCGTGCAAGCCCCTCCCAGGAGCAGGGAGCAGGTATGGGAGACCCGTGGCCTCGACGTCTGCTCCCCAACGAAAACCAAAGGCCAATCAAACTTAAATTGGAATTGAGCAGTAACTCAATTTTCAATGGCCACCTTTTATAATGAAGGACTTTCCAGGCCAGCAGCACACCTCAGTGAATTTATGACTCTACACGGCAAACTCAAGTTTCCCTGCTACAATATGGGGTTAAATCTACTTCCTATCATGAACTTCAAAAGGTACACACTTAGAACTGGGTTCAGACAAAACACACATGGTTTCCACTTCTAAAAGAATTCACCAGCCTTTTGCACATGAGCATCCTGGCTCCATTGGCTGGATAGGACTAGAGGTAAAACTCACAGTTCGCTGAAACAATCTCAGATTTGGGGGGCAGAGGGAATAAGAGAATAAACTCAGTCTTACTTAGACAGACAGCATCAAACAGTTAAGCTAAGACAATTCAGCTCACAGTGTGGTTGCATGGTCTATTCAAAAACAAGTGTAGTAACTGGGAAATATAAAAAATGCATTACTCTTAGCCCTCATCTTCTGCCTTTATTAACCTTAGAGAACTACACACAGCCTGACTTTTTTTTTTTTTTTTTTTTTTTTTTTTAACGTATTTGGTATAGGGTCTCACTACACAGCTCAGACTCATAGTGATCCTGTTTTCAGCATCCCCAGTGCTGGGATTACAGGCATGTGGCACCACACCTGGCATGTTTCTTCACAGAAGATTCCATAGCACATGTGTAACTGGCTTTGTGGGGTTGTGGGAGACGTCCTAAAGAAAATACCCACTCTCTGAGGTATAAAAAGTCCCTGTTATGCTCATTAAAAGGTGACGTGTAGAGCGCTGAAACTCTCCACAAGGAGCTAGCAAACTCTTCGCAGCCAGTCAGCAGGTCCCAACCCCATTTCCACCCTTGGGAACAACTTGTCTTCTAGATGACCTGAAATAGCACTATGGAATGTGCTCCATCTTTAAGGGGACCCGGGAAATGGGGAAAGGAGAGATAGGAGGGAAGGGGGAATAACAAAAATGATCAAGAGTCAACAGGTATATGAATAAACTCAAGACAAATGCAATTATAGGGGCTGGAGAGATGGCTCAGTGGTCTAAAGCACCTACTTAGAACAAGCTTAGCAAAGCATCAGGGACCGCGGTTCAATCCCCCAGCACCACATGCCAGCCAGAACGCCCCCTGGTGGGCTGAGCTGGTCTCTCTCTCTCTCTCTCTCTCTCTCTCTCTCTCTCTCTCTCAAATAAATAAATAAATAAATAAATTAAAAAAAAACAAAAAAAACAAATGCAATTATATTGTAAAGATGTCAACAGTAAAAAGTGTCCATTTACTTATTCCAATTATTTTTCTATTTTTGTGCCAATCTCCTAGGTGAGTTTATGAAGCCTAAGAGTTTTACAATGCAACAAATGAAGAAATTTAAATGTCTAATAAATATACAAAATAAATAAGAGATTTTTTCAGCCCATAAAATTAGCATACATCTTTAAAATAATGATGTCCACTGGCTGTAATATCAGAATGAGATATCTCTCCTACAGTATGGAAAGTACTTAACTTGGTAAAAGTATAAATTAGTAGATAATTTGATCATGTAAATCAAATACAGTGTTCATATTCTTCAATCTAGCAAGCCGCCTATAAGATTTAGTCCTAAAGAAATAACTAGGGCCAGGGAGATGGCTCAGTGGAATAAGTGCTTCAAGGACCTGAGTTCAATCCCTCGTTCCAAAAAAAAAAAAAAAAAAGAAAAAAGAAAAAGAAATAACTAAAACTGTTTCAGGAAATTTGACTATTGTTTATTACACTAAAACGACGCCAGTGTTTAATAATATGGGACTGGTTAAATGAATCATAAAACAATCAAGAGATGGACTACTTAGTTTCTGATGTGAAAATGATACTGTAAAAAGAAAACAAATTTTTACATTTTTTCTCAAAACATCTGAGCTCAATGCCAACCTAGGCCTCTTTTGCTTTCAGATGTATTTCCCCCCTCCCCTATACAGAGGACCAGCAGGGGGTACCTCCAGGGTATATTCCCAGGCCCCCAGCTCAGCCTGGAAAAAATGGCTGGGGGTCCAAAGAGGAAGGAAGGAAAGGTCTCTCACCCTCCTGTCTAATGGTGGCATCTACAGGACAGCTCCAGCTCCTGCAGAAGGCTCTGCCAAAGGTCCAACTCTCCTCAGGCCCCCTCCCCATTGCCCACCCAGCATTGTGTCCTTGGTCCCCGCAGCCTGCATGGCAGTGGCTTCCTGCAGCTGCTAACCCCAAGGTGCTTCCACTACCACTTGCTGGAGTTCTCTTTCTCTCCCACCCTCTGTATCCCCAGCTCCCTCTTTTCCCTACTTTCAGGATCCTTTCTGCTTTCCTCACTGGATCAACACAATGAGCTCCCAAAATCAAGTCTTGTCAAGGGCAAACATCTAAAATCCCAATTGCTAACCCCTGACCCATCTCCTTAGCCCAGCAATTCCTGGGAGAATAGCAACAAGTTCTTTGTCCCTAAAACAAGTACACAACTAAGCATAGCTATGACCCCCCACAGAAATGCCAGGGTAGGAAGAGGAACTGGGGCAGAAAAGCTGTTCAATAATTCTGTCTCTCCCTGCTTTCCCCTCACTGAATAAGCGAAAGCACTGCTTTTCAAAGATGAAAGTCAAAGTTAAAAGAATGGCATTTCCCTAAATTCCCAAATAGTTTCAGTCTTAAAAGGCTCATATAAAGGTTCATCAATTCACGGATACTTAGTGATGCTACATATTCAACAATTTATCAAGACATTATCTCTAGGTGCCTGTTAAAATTATTTTACCTTGGGGATTTCATAAGATTTGGTTCCTGTCAAACACAATTATTCCAGCATGTAACTCAGAGTGACTTCAAATTCCCATTTGTAGCTAGGACCAACCATTTCTGCAACTCCAAGTTTTCTTAATTTGTAAGACCTATTTAAAAAAAAAAAACAAGCATCAATCAGCATTTTAATATTGAAATGAAACAGATTTCCAGTGACAAAATGACAGTTCCATGTTAGTAAAGTTTCTTAATATTGGAGGGAAGAAGATGCAGAATTCTAACAAGCATTATACAACAGTTCCAAAGTAAACATTCTTTAAACCGAAAAGACATTCAAATTTTGATGCAAGACCTGAAATCCTTCAGTGTATGTAATTTTACTCTCCCCAATTCATTGGTAAATATCTGAAACAGAAATCAAAAATAATCTATTCCATGACCTGAATAGTCTCAAAATATTTACCATTTGTGGTTATTTTGACTGTGGGGAAGAACAAAGTTGTATGGTGTTAGACTCATTGAATAACTACGTGCAGATACCCCATAATGTTTTCACAGGCTCTCCTTCCCATTGGATGCCAATAGAGTCACCATATTTTTTTAATCATATCTCCTAAAGACACTCACAGAGACGATCTTCCAGAACTGCTTCAGAAAGTAGTAAAAACAATGAGAAAAGCATGATTGAAAAAGGGGAAATATTTTGAAGGGAATTAGTGACAATGTGTATTTTACTTTAAAGATACTTTAAAATTAAACATTCACTTCGTAGTTTGATCATACCTTGTAGAAACAAAGAGCTGAATAGTGGTTATCAGAAGCCAAGGAGAGAGAAAGGACAGGAACATGCTGATCAAAGAATATTAAGTTATAGTCACATGAAAGCAAGAACTTTTGGAGCGCTATGACACAGCAGGATGACTACACATAACAATATTATACATTTCAAAAAGCTAGAAGAAAATATTTTGACATTTTCACCATAAAGAAATCACAAGTTTTGAGGAGATAAAAATGGTTTACCTGACGTAAACAATACCCAACATATGCATGTATTAAAACATTACAAAATATCTCTCAACATGTTTATTTTTATGTTTTTATACATCAGCCAAATTTTTTTAAATCTCTAAAATACAGTCAATTTTAGAGTCCTGAAAAAAACCATTACAAACTCCCCACAAAACACAATTGAAATTTTTCTCTTCTTTAGATAACCCAAAGATAATTCCACAGACTAGATTAGAAAACATTTCAGATGAAGGGTTCCAGCCCCACTCCTCTGTCACTACAGGGCAGACAGCTCATGCCCAGAACAATTATTTCAACAAGAGAGAATGGGTTTGAATAACGATATATATATGAATTACTAGAGTGGAAAAAATGACTTGAGAATGTTCATCTACCAAGATCCTCCAACTTTATTAAAGCATGTTGGTCCTCACGTCCACCCAAGGGTATGATGTGACCTTCTGCTATTGGAAAGAATTTCATTCTGTAATTCATCAGACCCAGTCATAATGAACTCCCCACATATTGGAAACTGAAATGACCTTTCCTGGCTAATATTTATCTTGTTTTATTCACATAAAAGGAACCACTGGTTATTCTCTTTTCAATTAGAAAACAGATCCATCAGTGAGAAGAAAAGCAATATTATAGTTCGCTATGCCAAAGAAGGAGCCAGGGGTTTAATTTTAGGTAGAGCAGTAACTCATGCTGGTAGACTTTCCCACAGGATACCTTACAGACATGGAAGGATGTTCAAAACCACCCATCATTTTGTCTGTGGTACCCAAAGCATTAACTGACAGTTACTTGATCTCTCTCTCTTTCTCTCTCTCTCTCTCTCTCTCTCTCTCTCTCTCTCTCTCTCTCTCTCTCTCTGCTTTAAAAGTCATTCATTTTTAAAGAGTTTTCCAAACTCTCAATGATGAAAGACACTGGCCACATCTAGGCTTACAAAAAAAATGCTTTTTAAAAACATGTCTGATCATGCTCAGAATGACCTAAAAAAGACACAGCACTGGATGTGGGGCTCTGGTTTTCATCTGCCACCTGATGTGTTAGCATTATTCTCAGAGTAATTTTTTGCTACCAAGGAGCATAATACCTATTTGTTTCCTGGTACTAGGACCTTTGAGGTTCTCAGGAAAAGGAGACTATTCTTCAGATATTTATTTCCAAGGAAGAAATTCTGGCTTCCCTTGATTTCTTACCTTTCTTTTCTCTTGATCCACCTGCCTTCTCTATTCATGGGGTCAGTTTCCTAGAACACTTTTCATTTGGAAAGAACATTCCCTCATTGTGGCCATCCCCCTTGGGCCCTCTCCAGCCCTTTCTGCTATGTACCCTTCGTTGTACACATGTGAATCTACACAGCATCATAATCTTTCATTCAAAAAATCAAGTGATGAGCTTAGGGTTTCCTCTTGAAATTGGAAGACAGAGTCACCTTCCACCTGCATCTGATCCTGAGGAAAAAATAAGACAAACTGAAACCTGAGAGACTTTTTGGAACTCCACTGCTGTGCATTCTGGGAAAGTGTCAAGGAAAGACAGAGAAAGAAAAAAAGAATTCTTCCAAACACACAAGAGCGACATTGATCAAGTGCAACTATGACCCAATATTGGATTTTAGACCAGGAAACATGAAACACCCAACAGTTCCCAGAATGAACTGCATGTGCTCATGCCCACACAGAGGCACAAAGGGCATGACGGTGGCAATTAGTAATGTCTGAGTGTAGCCTGAGGGTTAAACTACATTACTATATAAACATTAAGTTTCCTGATTGTGAGCATCATACTATAGTTTAAAAAGAAATTATCCTTGGGGCTGGTGAGATGGCTCAGTGGTCTAAAGCACCTACTTGGAACAAGCTTGGCAAAGCACAGGGACCGCGGTTCGATCCCCCAGCACCACATGCCAGCCAGCCGTGCCCCCTGGTGGGCTGAGCTGCCCCCCCACACACACACACTAAATAAATGTTAAAAAAAAATTTCTTTTAAATAAAAAAAAAAGAAATTATCCTTGTTATTCTTAAAAAAATATTTACTCTGAACCATTTCAGGAGTAAGCAGCAAATGTACATGATTCTAAGAAAAAGAAAGAACAGGAAAAGAAGAAGGAAAGAGGGAGGGTCTAGGTGAGGGAGAGAAAAAAAGGAAGAATGAACAAACTACTGCAGAAGACATGGGGAGGATGTAACTGGTGAACCAGCATAAGGATGTCAAAACTGCAAGGGCAGGTTGGCAAAATCCTATTCTTTCAACTCCCCACTGTCAGAAATTACAATAAAGTAATACGTCCCATATTCACACTGACAGGAAATGCTCCCATTCAGTAGGTACACTAAAACAAGTGAGACCCGCTCCCCAGTCCTGAACACTGAGCACTGAGAGTGTGGCGGCTCTGGCTGATGCAGCTCTTTAAGCATTCACTCAAACATCTACCGGGTAAGGCCTATTTTATTACAAGGAAAAATAAAACCCACTTACATAGTACATGCTATGGACCACGCACAGTGTTAATGCATTTTTAAAAACCCACTCACTTAAAAAGCAGAGCTTCTTTATAACCCACACAGCATAAAGAGAAAAAGTGACTGGTCCAGGGTAGCTGAGTTCGGATTCTAATTCTAGCTGTATGACACCAAGATGCTGCATCTAATGCTTTAATTCTAATAAAATATTTCCCAAAAGTATGAGTCTCTTTCCATACTTTAGCATGTAGGCTGAAAATTAATCCATCTTTCTTTTCATTTGAAGATAGTGGTCATCCACCTGAAGGTAAAGAGTTGTTATCTGTGACTAAATCTGTGTAGACAATTGGATAGAATTAATTAGCAGATCGCGGGGTCTACATTAATCCCTAAATAAATTTTGCCGCATCTTTGAAGCTAGTGAAAAATAACAACACAAGTTTCTGATTCGCTGCAGATTAATTAAAGGCTAACTAATGCCACTTTCCAAATTAAGCCCAAACGTGCAACAGTTATAAATGTTGTTGCTGCTTCAACCACCATTTTTCACAGAGGCAGAAAACAAATGTACTTCAAGTCAGAACTCTGAAAACACTGTGGCAGAAGAAACACACCAGAGCCAGGACAACTCACACCAAGGCTAAATTATTTCTGAGATTTCAATGGAAGAATTCAGTGTCAAAACAAAAGAAAAAAATGGATTTTTTTTTTGTCTGTGCATCTGCTCAAACTCATTTCCTCTCACAGTCCAATTCAGGAGCATTTTTGCAGCAATACACCAGGCAGAATCTAGCTCAAGAGCAGTCTTCTCGCCTGGCCACCACACTGCCCTCTGACAAGGGGTATCCTGCATCACCTCCAGGGTGGGAGGATGGCATCATGAGCTATTTCTAGACTCAAGCCCAGCTCAGCTCTGACCTCCAGAGCTGAAACCTCCTGGGTGGCCTAGTGACTCACATTCTTGGCCCCTTGGGTCTTGGGGTACAAGCATTATGATTCTTCCAGCTAAAGATGTGGTGAGTTATTTTTCCACATTACTTTCTGCTCAAGAAAGAAAACGATAGAAGTGGGAAATGTTTCATGAATATATAACCTTCGTTTGGAGGGTCAAAAAAGGATCGTGAGCAGGAGGACAAGGCAGTCCCACTAAGTTAGTGGCTCAGCCAATGACTGCCGCATATTTGGAAATAGAGCTTGCCTACCTAAAACAATCCATCACTTCTCCAGACCAAATGTTCCCATTTCCAGTTGCTTCAATAACCCAAGCACACTGGATTGTCTTTGGAAACTTGCAAACAGCTTTTCCACCAAAGAACACTCACCATATATGGATCATTCCTCATCAATAAAGTGCCCCAAGTGCAGTTTCATTTTCCAGATACCCTGACGCAGAATAAAATTTTTCATCATTAAAAAAAAAAGAACACACAGCCAGATGTGTATTCTCTCTCTCTCTCTCTCTCTCTCTCTCTCTCTCTCTCTCTCTCTCTCTCTCTCTCCAAATTTATTCTGAAAGAAAACAGGCATTAATGAGCTCCGTACATT